ATTTATTTTAGAACTACAGTAACATCTTCTGATTTCTCTCAACATGCATGGGGACAGGAGAGCTGTCAATCAATAAATTGGAAAAAAAAGTAACTTGCGTTACTTATTTGAAAAAGTAACTCAGATATTCTCTTGTAAATTAAAAAGTAATGCGTTACTTTACTAGTTACTTGGGGAAAAGTAATCTGATTACGTAACTCGCGTTACTTGTAATGCGTTACCCCCAACACTGCCTATTTATTAAATTTAGCTATAAACCCATACATCGTAGATGCCACTGGAATCAGATGACAAACATCAAGTGATGTTTCAGTAATCAAACAAATGATGTTTTATATATATTTAATAATATTTCATCAAAATGTAACTTAAATAAATTAATACGTTGCTTGATTAGGCTATGTCTCAGCTCATTAAACAATACCTGATCTCAATCAATCTGGACATTTTTCTTAACATATAGGGATAATGACAAAGTATCTATATCACCAAAATCAAGGCAAAAGTTAAAAGCTTGCAAAGTAATGTATATAAAGGCCTAATGTCACTGAGCAAAGCACTATGTGCACTTTTCACTTCTAAAAACAATAAAAAGTTTCTTAGAAAAATGTAATTAAATTGTTTAGCCATATTTCTTTAAATTCATTTAAAAGTGCAAATATGATAAAAACTTAATTTATTTTGTCCTATCAGTTGCCTGCTGAAATGAACAGAAATGAAACAAGTTTTTTTTAAATAACACTTTCAAACAATAGATGCAAATTGTGATTACAGTTTTTTTGTTTGTTTAGATTTTATTCAAGCTATTTATTTTTACAGTATCAGTTTTTGAATTTATCAATAATCATTCATTTACTTAATCAAACCTCCCAAAACATAATTTAAGCCACATAAAGACTGGACAAGTAATTGTCTCATGCCTTCTTTAACCATTAGCTAATAACAAATCATTTCAAACAACAAAAAAAAAAAAGAAGAAGCTTAATCAGTGTTGCAGTTAGCAAAGAATGTCAAGATTGACCTAGACCATATTAACACTACAAAATGCTAAAATGCTTGCAATGCTGAAAAGAAAAAAGAAAAAAAAAAACATCTAATTGGTCTTAATTGGTCTCTTGATCTGGGCTGCGTTTCCCAAAAGCACTGTAAGCTTAAGTACATCGTAGACTCATTGAAACCAATGGAGCTACGATCAACTTAAGCTGAGCACGACGCAGTCCTGCTCAGTTAGCTGGATTTAAATGTGTTTTGGACACTTTTCTCCTGGTAAATTTTTTCTTAATTGGTTTAAGATGATTTTTCATTAGAAAGAACTGAGAAAAAACATGATGCATCTCTAACCATTTGCACTATTAAACATTCAGATGAAAAGCACAAAACTGCTAGTCATACATGCACCAGCGGGGACAGTTTGAATATGTGTTGTGGAGGGTTGTGGAGCAGTTGGAAGGGCAGTAACGGTGCATGCAAATACTCATTTACGGCCTGACTGCTGCCAGGTGCCTGAGACTCACTCCATAACTGACATCCACGATCACAGGAACACATGATCTTAGAGACATCCGATGATTAGTAATTCTGAAAGTTTGGAGAAAGAGTAGTGGAGAAAGAGAGATGAACAACAACGTTTCTCTACTGATTGCTACTCCTAACAATTCCTATGAAGAGGCTGATATTTGAATATAGATTTGATATTTCGTCCCCTTGGAATTACAAGGTTCTATCTGCATTCCGAGTAGTTTTGGGATATTGAGCTTCAAAGTTTTTGCATTCCATTCGACTGTGTAGATAGAACCTTTTTGTTTTTTAAATAAAAAGTCCCAAAATGTA